TCAGATCTAAGTCCATCATCCAGAAACACTTGAACAAGGTGCAATATTTGAAGCTGCTTTGACTGTTGATCTTAGGTTTGCTATATTCACAGGGCAACACTATCAGTGTAGCTGTTGCCTCTGTGTGACTGGTAATCCAGAAAGGTAATCAGTCACCTGGAATGTTGTAGCATAACTTTGTGCCAAAGGCTCATGTTGTCGTTGAATATGAGGCTTAATTATTGATATGTCTACAACTCAGTAAGTATTAATGGAGAGGCATCTTGTAGTGAGAACAGCGAAGCTGGAAGGAGGAGGAATATATAATGAAAGGAAATGTGCGTGTTTAGAATATGAGGGAGGAAAGATTTGTTAAGGCTTGAGAAGGTAATGCTCCATCTGCTATTGTGGAATGCAGAATTAATATTTCCAAAGTTTTTTGTCCGCTGTAATTGTTTCTGGGAGGGCAGGTTTATAGCTTCAATTAGGAATACCTGAAGTCAGTTGAAGGGTAGAACTGTATGTGTATTTAGTATTAAGATAAAAGATCTACCCATAGAGACAACACAGGGGCTATATGTTCCATAGACCTTCCATTGCCTAAAACTTTTACAAGTTTTCTCTACTCAAATAACTTTTTTCTAAACTATACAGGCATATGTCACCCTTATAGTGCTTTGATCTGCTAGAAAGCCTGAACAGAAAACCTCTAAAACAGACCAAGCAAGGCCACACAAACCCAACTGACTGGGTCCATGTAACGCCGTACATGAATGTTCTGTCACTTTCTTTAAAAGAAAGTACTGACACCAAACTTCTAGAAGTTGGCAAAGCTATTTGCATATATGTGAACGTGTTTCAAGTGACAGAAAAAGATGGGAATTACATTGTTCTTGTCTCCTAACACATTGTCTGGTTCTTTGATTTGTTTGGTAAATAAGAACTAAAGTGGTTTATTATCTGAATTAAAGATATACACAATGCGCAGTTACTTGTAGCTTAAATTCAGTTGGAGATTTTGTGTATAGCTGCTGATAATTAAAACTGAGCATCTAATGTCATATTTCCATGTTTTTTATATAAAAATCAGGGTGCATTTTATTGGAAAATTAGTCAGAGGACTGTGTTGGGAATCACAGACTGTTAAACTGATAGCCTAAATCATGAAAAACATTGGCTTTTCATGATATCCTCCCCCCCAGTTAATCTTATATGTATAGGGCAGTAAAAAAAATGTTCCAGCTGTGGGTAACAAAACATTACCTCAGAATTTGGGGTGTTTCTTCTATCTCCCAGGACTAAAAAATGCTGCAAATCAGAAAAAGTATGTCACTAGTGGTCAGCTATTAAGTAGATAGGATTTTTTTCTAAGAGCAGCATTTTGCTTTGGATGCCTGACTTGGCTTGACGTAGCGCTTTTGCTTTGTAACGTGTGTCTGCTTTGAATACTAGGGTGCAGCGAAGATTTCACGACTGAAAAGTGCAGCCCCCAGTGCTAAAACAACTGTGACAGCTGTCATTCCTCTAAGCAGCACTTTGTGCTGCCCAGAAATCCTGATCTGAAGTCGATACATGCACGCTTGCAGATCCTCAACTAATACAAATCCTCTTTCTTCAGTGAAGTAATGCTTTCATGCACGCTTGCAGATCCTCAACTAATACAAATCCTCTTCCTTCAGTGAAGTAATGCATTTTTTTATGCCCAGGGAAAATTAGGGAGCTTGTGTTGCAGGGGACTGGGTGCTGGGCCCCTTTATTCCTGAATATTTTTACCCCAGACTGTCATTCTGTCCCACAAAACTTTTGCAAGCTACGCTTTTGTTTTCAATCTTGGTTTTTTTTCTCCTTTGATCTGTAAGGAGGACTAAACCTCATTTGTAGTTCTTTCCCCTGCCTCAGATTGCCAAATTGAATCCATTTCAACTGCCTTCCCGCTCATATCTGTTTTCTGAAAGATTTTCATCACTGCCTGGATGGTGTATTCTTAAAATTCAGCCCAAGGAACCAGTTACTCGTGTAGCATTTTGGGGATCATATATTAAAAAATAGGCAAGCAATAAATCTCTTTTTGTGATTCACAACAGTGGCAGCACATACTACCCTCTGAATCAATTATAGATTTCATCGGTCCCACTTTATACCTGCTTCTGAATTTGTTTTAAAATAGCTCTTATTTCATAAATGTGTAAGGGGTATGATAATTTGTCATTTTGCTAATTTTATCTGTCTTCAGAAGTGAGATCCACCTTGAGTTATTAAAAGTACAAGTGTTTCATTAATAAAAGCACATTTATTCCTAGCAGCCTGGCAAAATTAGGGTCTCCTCCAAACCCTTCCTTAGGCTTCAAGCCTTTATATGGTGTATGTGAAAAAAGCTTCAGAATTATTACTGTGCAATGTTAAAAGTTTTTGAGAGATTAATCTCTCAAAGTTTTGTCTTGGGCATGGGGGTGTAACCGCCGTAATGAGGATTATAATGATATTTTCACAAAAAATAGCAATCTAAACCGTAAGTGTTAAAAATAGTCAAAAGTTTAGGTAGGTGATATTTCATAATGGCAAGTTCCCCCCTTAAGATCTATCAGGTAAATGATGCACATATTTCAAGCTGTCTTAGGAGGTGCTTTTACAGAACAATCTGGTGGATATCTGTTGGAAAAGGAGAAAAGGAAGAATATAAAAACAAGTTGCACACACCTCCCGCCCCTGCCCTTTTTTTATTTTCTTTTTTTACAGTGCAGCGATGAACTAAATATCTCTGAGTATATTCTTAGGATGAAGTTTCACAGTAGTGCTTGGTATCAACCCTTGAGCTGTTTTCAGTTCCCACAGTTTTATATCCAGAGATTTGGAAGAAGAGTTTTTACTGCCTGTGATAGCGTATTTTCCATTATTCAAATAGAAACACAGTTTATTGCTTCCTAAAGGCAAGATCTTCATGTTGATGTTGGTGAGAGCACCAGAAATTGGTCTGAAAACCCAAGGTTGAAAACTTTTTGTCCTGTATTTTTGTGTATTATCCCCAAACATTTTTCCTTTGCTTTTTTTAGTTAACAAAATAGAAAACTTCTTATTCCTGGAAAGGCTGCGTTAACTTTTTTCAGTATTTTGAAAGAGTTTGGGATGAAGGGGCTGTAAGATCAGTTGATTTATCTTTTATACTGGGAAAGCTCATAGAAATGATATTAAGCAGCAAAAATACAGGATACCTGGATACATTAGTTATAGTGAAACATTGGTAGGTGTCAGCATGGCTTTGGAAGTTACATCTCAGAAATGTGTTAGAGGTCTTTGAAGGGTGTGCTGAGCATTTGGTGAAGAAAGATCAGTAAATTTGGTGTACTTGGATTTTCAGTAAATTCTTCTTAAGGTCGTTTGACAAAAACTCTCAAGCAAAACTGCCTGGAATAAAATGGAATTTTATCTTTAATTTATTATCTTCTGAATTTAAAAACTGGTGAAATGACAGGAATTCAGAACAAAGAAATTATTACTTAAGTCCCATAGGGATCTGTGCTGGGTCCTTAGTTATTAAGATGATCTTGGAAACTGGGAATGAGAATGAGGTGCATGAGTTTGATCAAATGAATTAGTTGGGGCGGTAAAAACAAAGGTTGTATGTGAAGAATTACAGTAAAAATTCCTGTTGCAACGGTTGACAGTGAAGTGGAAGATGAAAATTGGTGCAAATGAGAAAAAATGGTTTTAATTATGCATAGATAATAATGGGTATAAACTAATCACTAGTGTTAGGGAGAGAAATCTTGGAGCCAGTGTGGTCAGTTTTCTGAAAATGTCCATGCAGTAGTGCTAAAAATGCCAATCAAATGAAAAGAAGACAGAACAAACCAGAGAAACACTACTGTGCTGTTGGTAAATGTGATCAAAGAGCTGGAATGATGCCCGTGTGAGGAATGAGACTCAATAGAGTAGGAGTGTTCAGCTTTGTGGGTAAAATGATATAACAGGGAACCTGTAGCGTCACAGTTGGTTTACAGAAGGTAAATGTATAGTCAGTGTTTGCTTTTAATCACTGCATTAGAATTAGAAGCATCGGATGAAATGAAGGAAGGTATTTAACACCCCAAAATAGTTTTTCACACCATACATATTAAATTTTGGAATTCATTGACACAGGAGATTGTGGGTGCCAAAGGTTTGAGTATGTTCAAAAATTAATTATTCATAGAAAAAAGTCTCCATGGATGCTTGTTAAGTACAAAGCTTCTGTCTCAAAGAAAACCTAAGCCACAGGCTAGGTCTGGGAGAGTTTAATAGGAGAATCACTCTACATACTATTTCTTCTTATTTTCTTTTTATTAAGAAAACCCTACTGCATAACACGATACTGAACCAGGTAGACTTTTATTCTGAAGCCGTATGTCCTTACTTAAATGAAACAGAACTATATTGGTTTATATCTGAAGATTTGGCCACAAAGCCTGAGTTAACTTTGCATTTTTCATTTATTTAACATATCGATGACCCCAAGAGATGGTGAATGTGTCAGAGTGTTTATACTGAGTCAGAAGAGACAAAACTGTGATGCTTAAATCATAATGTCTATGTAGAAAATGGCATGGATTTGGGAAATAAGAAAATATTCTTCCCTGAAGCTGTTTTATTCTATTTTGAAAGCAGTTCTCTGGGCTTAATTTATTTTACTGATAAACTCATAAATAAACTACAGAAAGTAAGAATGTAATTTTTGGAACCCATATTTACTTTCCCATGGTAGATAGCTACTTGCTACCTCCTTTTCTTTTGTTAATGTATTTAATACATGACCACTTCATCTATGATGTGTCGGAACACTGTGTAAAGTAAAAATATGAATGTTTTCAAACATAATTTTTTGTTCATATGCATTTGTAATGTTATTTGTAATAAATTTGCAATGTAAAATCAACAGTTGCTACTTAACCTGTCTCTCTAAACGTAGTTATTTTGCTCTGTAGTTTGAATAATCTACACCTGTATCCTTGCTACAAAGTACTTACTAATTTTATTCCTCCTAACAGTGAAACCCAACTGGTCACTTCAAGTGGGGATACACCGGTGTGGACATGGCCATGCTGCATGGATCTGCTCATGGCATTCAGGTGGTGATTTCGTGGCTTCTGCTTCCAAGGATGGCACAAGTAAAATATGGGATCTTAACAGGTATGGAGTTACTGCAGATTCTGTATTAGCTGATTGGTAGCTTTACTTAAGAACTACTGGTTTGTGTTCTAGCCCAGTGAGAGAGAGATGCCTAGCATCAATTTGTGGACTTCACTTTAATAACATAGATAAATTAAAAGGAAGTGGTGCAAAAACCAGACTTTAATGTGAATTACTGGATAAAGGCTTTACCAAATAGGGAGCTGGGAAAGACTTAATTTAAGATAGTGCCGAAAAAAAAGTATTTGCTTTTATTTACTGTTACTCTGTGGGCTTATTGGTTTGCTTTTTTAAAATGTTGTAGCTTTGTGGAACTTCAACATGTAATCTGAATAAGTAACTGAACAAAAATTTAAGTAAGTTTTGTAAATAGTGTTTCTAGCTCATAGGTATACCGCACACTTTAATTTGAGGTTGGACAAGTGGAAATTTATTTTATTCATTATATATGCTTTGGCAAGGTGACTCCTGATGAATAAATCAAGGTATACCACTTCATTTTCTGTATTATCCATGCAAATGCATTTTTATGATGATGCTTCTAGAATATTAGTATATTCCCACTTACCGATTAGTTATTAGTTCCTCAACTTTCTTCAGTTCTGTTTGAGCTGACATAGTTTGATTAATTTATACCTTAAAGGAATGGAATGGATTTATATTTTTTTTCCCCAAACTATTCCTTCTAGACTCCCGAATAACTTCGGAATAGTGTTACTGACACCACTGTACTGTACTAGGTCTGATTTTTGACAACTGAATACCATCAATCCACAGACAAGTCTCCAGTCTCATTTGTGTTTTGCTAGTTCTTTATTATCCAGTCCTAATGGATTTTTCTATTTCCTCACAGTCCTCTTCTTCCTTTGCATTTGAATGAGGTGGAATATGCTTTCAAGCTTGTTGGCCACTGCAGGGAAATAAGTTTCACTGAAAAAGCAAAGGAGACTTTCTTCTTTCCTTCTTTTTTTGCCTAGATGGCTCCCTGGCTGCTGCAGGGACCTATTTGTGAGCAAGCTTGGTCAGGTGGGAGCGTGGAGGGGTTTTGTTGTAAAAGTGAAGTACTTCCCTGATAGGCAGGTATGAGTTCAGATTTTTTCAAAATTTTGTAGTTCGGCCATATGTTTTAGAGCTAATTATAACTCTGTCAGTATCAGATTTTCAGTCTTGCTTTCAAATCGTGAATCGAGGAAGCATTATATAAAAGCATTGTTTTCCAAGTGGGATAAGTAATGTATCCTTTAATGAAATATTCAGAATTATTTTGGCTAAGCTGAGAGCAGCTGCTTAAAAGCTTGAAACAAATATTCAACTTTTATAAAATCATAGACAAAGCAGTTTAAGTTTGGCGAAGTTCAAGACAACCGCGAAGTGTGGTTTGTAACAGAAGTTGTCAGCCAGTTCTGATAACAGATTATGCTTCCACCATTACTATCAGTAGTAAGAATTAGTGGTCCGTGTTTTGTTTAGAAATGAAAACATCTGAAATATATTACATTGTTGCCTCTTTTCCTAATCCTATTGTAGGACTTTAACACTTCGATCATCCTTTACGATGTTTTGTTTAGAAATGAAAACATCTGAAATCTATTACATTGTTGCCTCTTTTCCTAACCTATTGTAGGACTTTAACACTTTGATCATCCTTTACGGCATAATCATGACCTTTAAGAAATAGTACTAAAAATAGCTTAAATTTTAAGTCAGAAAGGTTTTGAATTTGCATAGACAAACGTTTTGTTTAGACACTTGAAAATATCGTCTCCACCGAGGAGGCTTTTGTAGTCAGAGGAATCAAAGCAAATCTTCATCGCCAACCCGTGCCTCCCACTCACACTCATTACCAACTCCCATTTCTACCTTCAGTCTATCTGATGTGCGCTTTGCATTTGAAAATAAGAGAGTAAGCAGCCCAGCCATGATGTGAAAGGCTAGTTATCAGCATATAATTATTGAAACAGTAAGTCGTTCAAAAATCTCAGTGGCTAAAGGGAGCAGGAGGTGGCACAAAAATGTGGTGCAGTGTGTTTAAAATAGGAGTATTCAGAGTTTTTAAAAAAACTTCATTGAGGACCTCGCTGGTAGACTTCCAGTCTGTTCCCCAAAAAAAGCCTATCTGTTCGTTTACATTAGCTATGTGTCCAAAAGACAATTGAGTTTTGTTTAGGTGTTTGTTTTTTTTAAGATGTGCTGTAGAAGTGTATGTGGTGTGTGAACTTTAGTGTTAAATGAGTATGTTTTTTTTTTTTAAGATGTGCTGTAGAAGTGTCTGTGGTGTGTGAACTTTAATGTTAAATGAGTGCAGTGGAAAAAATTAGATGCTCTTGAAGAGTTTCTTTAAAAAGGGTTTGATTACAAGACATGGCTCTTTCAAGCTTAAGACATCCTGCCTAATGACCTAATTCTGCAGAAGAGTCAGCTGTAATTGATCCTTACGCCCACGTTGACTAATTCAAGTGCAAAAGCAACCCGTACAGAATGTATGGCGAGATGTGGAAGTAAGAGAAAGCTATTGAAAGATTAATCAGTCTGGTAGTTTCCAGTTGGGATTGTTGATTTGGTGATGCGTATATACAGAAATGCTATGCAAAATAACCTTCAGTGTATTTTGGCTTGGCATTGCTAATTACCAAGCTAATTGGCTGAGTTTGGCAACACTAATTCTATATGTTTCCTGGAGTGTCAGCTGTAAATTTGTTATGTACCTGGAGTTCTCTGATATGAATGAAGCCAAGCTGTACTAGGTACTATATAAATATGTAACCTCCTTCAGACTCGTTACAGTCTGGGTGTGTGCATCAAAATGGGAACAGGGAGCAAGCTTTTCACAAGGGTATTAGGTGCTTGGAAAGTTTTTTTTTCTTCCTGTCCTCAAAGAATATTTGCTTATCACAGAATCACATGGGGTTGGAAGGGACCTCTGGAGATCATCCAGTCCAACCCCCTGCCAAAGCAGGGCCACCCAGAGCAGGTCCCACAGGAACGTGTCCAGGTGGGGTTGGAATGTCTCCAGAGAAGGAGACTCCACCACCTCCCTGGGCAGCCTCTGCCAGGGCTCTGCCACCCTCACAGGAAAGAAGTTCCTCCTCATGTTGAGGTAGAACTTCTTCTATTCAAGTTTGTGCCCATTTCCTCTTGTCCTAACACTTACCTAGTGCTACTCTTCAGAATTTTCCTTCTCCAGGTGTCTGCCAGTTGACACAAGCTCTGAACAGGGGACACAGCTCAAGCTAACATACTATACTGATAGGGTAATAGTCAGTGATCACAGTTGTTCTGCTTAGTCTAGGGATTTAATCTTTCCACTAATAAGGAATTAACATTTTCTAATTGAGGGCTGTCTTTCTTCCTTATTATTACCTATTTGGGTGGATGCCTGTTTTCAAATTGGAAAGCAGCATGTTGGGGCTGGGGGGGGTAGAAAGCAAGATGAGTATCAAAGGCATCACTGCCATCTTCCTAAAAGTGCTAGGTTGTAAATAAATGCTAGGAATAGAAAAACATTCACTTCTGTAATGAGTGGCAGTCACCTTTTTATTTTCGGACTTCCAAAAGCTGCTTTTATACATTAGAAACACACCTTTTTTTATCTAGAAACACAACTTTTGAAATAGCTACAACAGAGTTCTCAGTGGTTGAAAACTTGGTATCAAGGAAGTGGGGAGGCTGTTTGCTGTCTTTAGCACCAAAACCCAAGGGGCAACTTTCACAATCATGAAATCCATTCGTGGAGTCCAAAGAATTCAGTGTGCAACATCTCTTACATAGAAGAAGGTTGCCAACAGTTTTAATAAATTATGTAGTTCTTTGCAAATGATAAGAAAATTCAGGCTGCTAATTGTTGGAGTTCTGTTTTATTAGTAGGTGAAACTACTGCTGAATTCTTACTATTTTTTTTCCCCCACTGGATGGTATTCACAAGCATTTTTCTTTCGCGTGTGTTGGAAGTTTCTGTCATATATCTAGCCACAAATATTATTCCTACCAGGAGTATAATGTGAGGTAGCTTTGTAGTTAACAATGTTCTTCTCCTTGACAACTTCTGTGCCTTCTATTTAAAGATAGGATCCGAGTTTGAAAAAAAAAACAGAAAACAAACAAAAATCCAAGCACTTTCATATTCCCTGAAGGCACAAACACGTGCTGAGGTGCAACCATGATCCAACTTACTGAAGGATTTGAGGGAGTCTGAGTTCTGATGTTGGAACTTCTTGATGCTTTCTTCTGGGAGAACTGGCTGTTTTTAAAGGAAGCTAAAAAGAAAATGGCATAACACCAGGGACGGGGGAGACAGTGTACCTGCCATGGTTAGAAAAATAATTAAAAAAAAAAAATCAAACCCAACAAAACACAGACATATCTGCTATCTTCAAGGTTGCCCCATATTCTTAATGATTACAGGAAGGAACTTGAACCCGAAGTGGGGGAAGAAGAGGCTTAAAATTTGTGAACAGGTTTTTATTCAGCAGCATAGCTCAGATTGAAAATATACAGCCAGCCATGTTAATAGCTCAGCAAACAGTTCCAGGATTGTTTTCTCAGACCGTAAATTCGGGACTGTCAAAGTCATTTTGGCAGGATTAATTTCAATTATCCAACTGTAAATATCATCAGAGATTTACAGCCTGATCTCTGATATGCAAATCAAACTGAACATCCTATATCTCATGTAAACATAGCAGTTATTTAGTTTTGCAAACATATGTTGTAGGCTGTATGTTAAATGCAAACATTGTTATTTATGCTTTAAGCTTTAGACATATTTTGCACCAAAGTCACAACATAATTTTTTTTTCTCTAGTTTATCCATTATATAGTCATTGGACCAGTTCTCCATTTTTCTCTGGTTTCTTTCTGTAGTGAAAAATATTGGTGGAAGTAAGCCACAGAGAAATGCAATTCTGTATTGTCCTGCAGAGGACCTCAGGGTGAATAAATGTTTGCAGATTGGAGCCACGGCTACTTTCTGTTTGCTGTTTTTTAATCCATCACTTATTTGC